TTCCATCTCTTCCTCTTTCGCTCTCTCGCTCGTTCTTTCTCCATCCCTCCTTTATCTCGTTTTGTTTTGTTGTCATCTCGCGTCTCGTTTCTCGCAATCTACATATGGCTTTGCGGGTCAATGGTGCCCAGCCGCAATAAAGTATCAATCATACCTCATCTCTCGGACCAACCCGCTACGGGATGCTGCGCGCCGCAGCGTGGTGCCCAGGTGTGTTCCGCCTGGCGAATATGAAGAGTGCAGCAGCCCGGTGACACACTTCCCCAATTCTCGCATTGTTCTTCATCCGCGTGCACGTACGAAATAAATCTCCGAGTGGGGCGAGGGAGAGACGGACGGACGGGCGAGCGAATGGATGGATGAACGGCGGAGGGTCGGAAGGAAGGGAGGAAGAAAGGGAGGGAGCCGGAGTTGGCGCGCGTCGGTACCTCCGTTGGCCTCGTGACCGGCTCGTAATTGCGATTGCTTTTTCGTGGGAGGGCCGTAGGTAATTGATAATTAAGCGCGTGCCCTCCTTGCCCCCGGGGGAGGAAGAGGAGGAGGAGGAGGAGGCAACGGAAGACCGAATGTAACGATGGCATTTCGGAGCGTGTGCGCGCGCGCGCGCGCTTTGGTACCGGATGAACTTGGCCGGCATCCTCGTTTCGATGTCGCCCCAAGTGTTGCACCGCGAGTATATTTATTCCTCCTTTAATTTAATTTTCTGGGTATTAAATCACAACCGAGAAACTCTCCTCTCTCTCTCTCTCTCTCTCTCTCTCTCTCTCTCTCTCAGAGAGAGAGAGAGAGAGAGCGAGTATATTCGTCAAGATCGATTAGCTCTAAAACCGTAACGTCTCTCGTCTCTTTTCTTCAAATCGCGAAGAGAAATTGTTTGCTAAGATTGATCATATATTTATTTAAGATACACACACACACACACACACACATGTGTAAATTCGCGATTTTGTAATCGGTATTAACGTTATCAGGTTATGAAAAATTCAATCGAGCGTCGCGAATTCAGAAGCATCGGAATACTCTTCTTCTTTCTGTGGAACGCGCACGTCTTAATTTCGTAACTTTTATCTCTCTTCCTTTCTCTCTCCCTCTTCCCTTCTGTTCGCCTCATTAACTCGCGGCGTCCACACACACACACACACACACACGCACACACACACAACGCGGGAGTTCTCCAAATATATTCCCACATGTCGTTACACTCGCGATACGCCGGTGATCGGCAATCGGTCCCGATCGATGACGCAGCTACGACTCGACATTGAAATTCCATTGTCGATCGGCTTATCTTAATTTCTGGATGGTGCGCAAGTGTGCAAACGGGCCGCGTAAACGCGTCGACACGTCTGACTATATCTCGCCGGCGCGGCGCGGTGATGGCGTTAGCTTTCCTTGTTTTTCCGAAAATAATGATTACCGTATACGGGAAAACAAAGGGACCGCGCGCGACGCGCAGTATCGCGGATTGTTTTTCGCGGTAATATTTTTACGAACGATACGCTAAACATTTGCGTGGCAAGTACACAAGGTAACATGGGAACACACAATGATAATTTTTGCAGAGACTGACTTCATGCGATATCGCGCGTTTCTTATTGTAATATGCCGTCCATCTGTCCGCGGAATCGTTGCACGCGGAACAAATGTTTATTTATTTGTTGGCTCGTTTATATTTATTTCGTGTAATTGGCGCGTCGCGGTCTCGGCTGGCTCTTTCCTTCGAGAGAGAGAGAGAGGGAGGGGGGGAGAGAGAGAGAGAGAGAGAGAGAGAGAGCGCGAAAAGTCGTTCGCGCATTTTAATCATACGCATCGTTATGAGCTCAAATAGTTTGTCGGCTCTTCGACTCATCCATGTGCGCGAGACGTGCTCGTAAACTCAATCTCCTTCGTGTAATACCCCGGCCTATCACAACGCGATTCAGAGTGTTACAGCGATAATTTAGTTTATTGGCTTTACCTTCTCTCGCTTCACCCTCCTCTATACTTGAGGCGGCCGAGTATTCGCTCGTTACATCGACCGTAAGTTACTGTTAGTGTGATATCTTTCTCCCTTCCTCTCTCTTTCTCTCCAGCTCGGAGGGTGAACCCGGTAGGAACCCTATCGTTGTAAAACTACGAGTAATAACACTGTAAGTCATTGTCAGTGGCCGGGCAATAACACGGCATCCCGTGGAGTCGGGTTGATGTCGCTTTCGTGGAAACGTGCATTGTCGCACGAAGAAAAGATACTTCTTGGTGGCGCACGCTGATCCACGTTCATAGTCTCTCCTGCCTCCGAGGCTCGACTTACACCGCGGCTGTAAGTCGGTTACATTCAGTTACACAAACGAAAGGTCCGCTCCGAAATAAACCTCGCGTAAACCTCCTCGCCGGAAGGACGTCACGAACGTCACACCGGCGAATCCGCAACGCGAATCAACTCGAGTACTTTGCTGGCTATTCTTCGTCGCGTTGATGATCATGGGAGCAAGTTTGAAATGTTTCGACCCCGCGAGAAACATTTCAAGTGAAATATTTGCATTCTGACCCGATCGGTTGGTCATATTTTGTTAGAAACCGTATTTACCGAGCATGGCGATACCGAGCTTTCTTACGCGCGGAATGACGTATTCTCCAGACGTGTTTCACAAGGCCGCAAAAAAGATATCGAGAGATATCGGTTTGCGTATCGCGTAACTACACGCGCGCGCAATAAATAATAAAATGTTTCTCGGACGCGTGTGCTTTTTTTTTCGATTTGTATCGTGCGTGCGCGTGAATCACAAGACTGGAATTTAAGGGCTCGGACATCCGAGAATCCAACAATAATCCCTCGGAATGCCGTTTATGCGGAATATGCGGTCTTCTAATCGGTGAGCATTATTAGCAGAGGATATTGGCGCTATCTGTAAAGGTGAATAGCTGGGGATCGTTATCTGCGGCACGAACACGAAGAAACATAACTTGGTCGGGCCGATCGTTGCTTATCCGGCGGGATCGCGTAGGTGTTAAAGCGCGCGGTTCTCGCCCACTTGAATCGATTCCGAATGGACAGCACGATCGTTTCGTCCTATCGGGTGTCCTGTTAACGGTCGCGTCGTTAAGACGACCGCCGATCGGAAATTACAGTCTGCGCGTACCTTTCCTCGGCCGCCTCGATGGTTTCGGGGATTTTTACGGGGGAACGTAATCGATTCTCACTTTTGATATATTAAATTGATCGGCATGAACATTCTTCACGCCGAGAATTTTGGGAGTAGCAAGCCTCATGAATATTTCAGCTCTCTGCTGCCCCGTTCGGATGCGTGTGTCTATGAATCTCCTTGACGAATTACATCTGATCCCAAGATTGCCGCGAACGAAAACTACTTTAGAGTACTCGAGAGAACTCGTCTGGAAGAAAATGTAAATTGGGCTCTCTCGGTGGCGCATGTGTACGGGCTTGCTTATTTATCATGTTTAACCGCGAGGAAACACGTTGTCAGTGAATAATTGCGGCGCATTTCCACGAAATTGCGCGACGCCAAGTGCATTAAGCGCGCGTTGCTTAATCGAGAGGTGTTTTGCATTATTTCATAACTGGACGAATAACGTCGGCGGGGTTGCACAACGTCGTCGATGCACTCGCGCGACACGCGTGAACGCAATTCCGGCATCGCGTCCAATCGCCTCGAATACAATCGATCAATAAATATGTATGAGCGATTCGGGCTCGCGCTGCGACGACGCGACAGATGCGCACGCCTGCCGGCAACGTTTCACGTCGATGACGTCTATCCCGTCGAGGACGTCGCGGCGGATTTGGTATCCGCTTAAGGTAACGAACGAACCAGATTTCTTAATCGACGCAAGGCTTAATCGGCGCCGCCGCCGCCGCCGCCGCCGCCGCCGCCAAGGAGATGTAAGAATCTGCAGAGTCGAGCGAATAAAGAGAAACTGAATCTCGCGAGTTGCACGGGCCAAGAATTTTTTACAATGATAAATCGTAGTTATCTGAAGAGTTCCCAAGTCCCGTAATATCCCGTAATTTTACGATTCGAGATCCCGACAGACCTCCGAAGTCTTCCCCACTCCCGTAACTTGGTAAGTTTCACGAAGCCGCGGACTTGCGTAATATCTCAACGTATACCAACGAAGACCCGTAAATCCGGGGTAACCATAAATCGCGGCGCGATCGTTAAAGACCGAAGATGAATTTTCATTCGGGCGAAACGCGTAATTTTTGACACGGCGCGATCGACTTTAACGCCCTTCTTTTTCCACCGCTCTCTTCTCTTTCTCTTGTTCTTTTCTTTCCTCTTTTCTCGAAAGACCGAACATCGACGCTCCTCCCGGAGACGGAGGAGAACCTTACAACGTCGCGGCGCGCGACGTGAAAGGGGAGCGTGCGTTGTCGGAGGTTCCCGTGGCGTTTATTTACGAGCGCGTTACACGCAATGTTAATTCGACAGATTTGACCGTAAATAACGCCCGTAAATACGCGCACGCGGGTATGTATTTATCTCGGTCTATAAAATTCAGAGTCCCCGCCGGAGATGCGCGCACGCGGCAGTTTAAGCGGTGACTGAAATTTACAGGCGGGACTTTTCGAGGCAGAATCGGCCCCGCGAATTTTCTGCGCCTCCCCCCATTCGCGGTCTCCCTTTTCTTTTCTCTTTTCTTTCTTGCGATCTTCATTAGGATCAGGCGTAACGCCGCGCCCGGTATGTTCGCAAAAAGTCTCACAGAGGCGGACGAACTTTTGAGAACGTTCGCCGCGGCACACCGAAACGACACATTGCGTGCAGAAAACAAATTTCGATTTACCACGATCGCTTTCTCCTCACTAGAGATCTCTCACTCTGATAAGGGGGACCGGGGGAGGGAGGGGTGTGTTCCGTATTAAAATAACGTTAAGATATCCAGCGTAGCTGTCCGAGCAAAGAGATCGCGTCGAGAATTAAATCCGATTCTTGATCCCCCCTCCCGCCGGCTCTCTTTGATTGTCATAGTGATCGATGTGCTCTATCGATTTGTTCCAGGAGAACGGTTGCCTATACTCGCACATACGATGGGGCGAGGCCTTCGTCGTGGTCTACAGCGTGACATGTAAGCGTAGCTTTCAGGAAGCCAGAGGACTTCTCAAGCAACTCGCGGATCTACGCCTGCCGTCCTATTTCACCGCCCTCCTGCTCGGCAACAAGCGAGATCTGGATCACGCTCGGTAAGCGTAAATCACATTGTTACAAATATGATTAACGGTCTCGTAAGAGGCGGCGGGCGTGCACCGGCGGTAACGTCCGATGATCCTCCAGCCGGCGGTGATATACGAGCGAATAAAAGGCGCGCGTACGCGCCTCGCTCCGGGCGCCGTAAAAACGGTAATTATTAATAAATCAATGGCGCGGCGCGATTTTTCGCTCCTTAATCGCCGCCGCCGCGGCCAGATATGTCCTTCCGAATCTCGCGCGTCGGCGCTCTTGTTTATCCCGCCACGCTCGATTACAATCGACCACGATTGTTCACCGTTGACTTATGAGTCGTCGTCTGCGGCGGCGGCGGCGGCGGCGGCGGCTGCGGCTGCGGCTGCGGCTGCGGGGAACTAGATGAAGCCGCACCGCGGAGTCGATCTGTATCGCCGCGTGCGGTGACGTTTCAGTTTGCCGCCGAGTAATTATTGTCCGCGGATCGGCCGTTGGCAATAGGCCGAACGTTGCGAGGCAATTTTTCCACGTCGACGGAGAGTTCAGAAGAAAAAGAATTATGCTTATTCGCGAGTAATGTCGCGCTTGCACGTGGCCCATTTTTCCATCGCGGCCTCGCAAGCCTGGCACACTTCGCTGCCGCCGCCGCCGCCGCCGCCGCCGATTGGTGCGTTAAGGGGCTCTCACACGATTGATGTTTCTGCGTCGGTACGCGCACGATACAGCTCGCTGATTCGATTCGAGCAAAGCCCACCTGAGTGTCTCGGAGTGTTTTGATCGGAGCAACACCAACGAGTAAGCCTGTCTGAGAAAGTTGAGTGTGAAAAACTCACGAGAAATTAATCTCACGAGAGATATTTCGTAAGAGAGAATTGGCTCCAGCTGTCGGCCGAAATCAACGAACGGCCAATTCCGCGGGCCTGTTTAACGCTCAACAGGCGTGTCACGGATGCCGAATCTCGTTCTCTGAATTGAGATTTATCGGGCCGCGAGTACAGCACGGTGCTACGGAACGTATGAGGGCCGCTTAAGTGGCCGCGCTCTCGTCGCAAGAATTACAATATCATTTCGTGCGTCGCGCGATCTCCGATCGGCGACTTGCTACTTCGCCGTCGGCGAATCGTCGATTATTCGATCGTTCCTCTTTCTCTCTCTCTCTCTCTCTCTTCCTTTTTCTCTTTTTTCTCCTCTTTTCTCTTCCGTCGGTCGCACACGCGCGCGTATACACGTGTATGCATGTGTATACGTGTCCGGCCTATTAATTCTACAGTTCACTTTCCACCTGCGAGTAACAGGATCTTCGCCGACGTTTCCTAGACGAGGTGAGATTTCGCGTGCGCCACGCGATTCGCGTTTTTCCAGACGGTTCTCCTCTCGCGGTGCGCGGCGTTTTATTAGGTTGTTCCCGCAGTTTTGTTGCCCTTTTCGCGCTCGCTATCGCCCGCGGTGTAGACTTACCTGTACTTGCTTACTATAGACCGCTTACTCGCCGAGGAGGAGCGAAGGGGTAGGGGGGAAGGGGGCCTCGGTTCTTTCATCTCTGAAACTTTCGATCTCCGGGTTGCGCGACCGGCTGAATCGTATCGCAAAGTTTGAAAAGTCCCCATCCCCGATCTCATCTTCCTCGTCGATATTCACCCAGAGAGAGAGAGAGAGAGAGAGAGAGAGTTTGACGTGATTTTTCATCTGGAAAATGTAGCGATTTCTCTTCTCTCACTCGTGAAAAGGTCCAAAGGTTTCCCACCCCCGCAAATATCGAACGACAATTTGAATATTCATATTTGTGTTGATTTATGACTTCGGATCGTACTCCTTTTTTGCATCTTGTATACTTTACGTCCTCGCGACTCGCGGAACTCGTTCGACGGGACTCGTTCGGGGAACCCTTCGACACCTCGAAATTTCCCGTGTCACGTTCTCGTTCGTGTGGGAAGGGGCTTTCCGCCGGGCGCGTGGGTTTTCGTTGCCGGCGTGGCGTTTTCGCAAAAACCAGTTCAACGAACCGAACGATCGGCCACACGACGGAGTGAGTTAATCGGCCGACTGGTACGTCAACTTTCCGGGCGAACCGACTCATCCAAGTCGGTCAGGCGACTCTGAACAGGTAAACAGATCTTGGCGAGGTAAAGATCGCGTGAACGGTTTCTAGACGAGCGACGACGACGACGACGACAACGACGACGACGACGGCGACAACGACTCGACCACTACCGGGTGTCTCGAATCGGCATCCGATGCCGCGTTGCGGTTTGCAACACGGTGACCACGTGTCGCGTTTCACGTATCGGCGTCGACGATCCGGCGGTTCGGCATACAAACATGCGGATGGATAAATGAACGTCACAGCGACGAGGGTTACCGATTAAAACAAAGGGATGCGGGCTGCGAGGGTGTCGAATTATTTTATGAACCTCTGCGCTTTTGCGTCGCATCTCTGGTCTCTTAGAATTCTACCGAGAGACTGGCGGAGCGGCGGGAAATTCAGGTGTATTCGAGTATCCCGAAGAGCTTCGGAATATCTTTCAGGAATATCTTTCTGAGAAAGATAAATGTCACTGCATAGAGAATCTAGTGAACGAGACCAGTCTACGAATAAATTTCTCCGGGATTTTCCCATCATTTTTAGAAAGAACGATTAAAAGCTACATTAATCTCTTGCCGTTGGATGCGCTTTGATAAAGTAGTTCTCGCGATAATTATCGACGCGGTGGGTCTCTTCATGTGGCCAGGCGATCGCACGCGCGTTCAGCACGGAACGTAATTCCCTCGACACGATATAAAACCGAGAGCGTCGTGGGAAAAAATGCAGTTGGGGCTGAAAGACGCGCGATAAACAGGTGTGGCTTGCGTGCAGCTTCTAAGCGTCGATACATCTTGTCGCATTTTATGCAACCAGTCGCTCAAAGTGCATCATTGCGTTGCGTGATTCAGCCAAGAGAAAGCTAGGAAATACTGGTACGCGTTCGCTGTTTTTATTTGCGACTCGAATAAAGAGTGAGATGGCGACGGCGGCTGGCTGCGGTGGCTCATTAACCTTGTCGGATCGGCGTGGCTTCTCATGTATCCGCCGCAAGATAAATATCCATTAATAGGGCAGAGCGAATAGTTTTTGGTGTGCAGGAGCACTCGAGTCCTTCGGCTCGCGTTTCCCCCGTCGCGACGCCACACCGCTGCAATTGCACGAATAATCGCGTTTGAATATTAATTGTATTAACTCCTGGTTAATTAGTTGAATAACGATCTCCCGACAAAACTTTCTTCCCCTTCTTCGATAATCGTTAGCCAGCGGTAATCGTTATCCCGGCACCTATTCGGGGTGCCCGACGAATTTCTATCCGTCGCTCGTTAGCCGTCGATCGCGCGAAACAGGCGCGCGAGCGAGCGAACAGGACATCGCTCGATATTCTTTCCCCGTCGCCGACAGGAATTTTCCCGAGCGATTCCCGCAGGAATGCGGATCGTCGTTAACGAAGACACGCTCCTTTTCTCGCCTTACGAGCCACGTTCTCGTCCTTTATGGGGCTTTGCATACCGGGAGAAATCTCACCGATGATCTAGTAACGACGGCAACGCGGCAATTATAGCCGACGCTACTATGCCATACGGGATGTCTCGAAAAGGCGTGCGCCACTCGTCGCAGGATTCTATTCGCGAAGGAATTCGAAGCGGTTCGCCTCTCTGTCTGCTCGAGCAAAAAAATCCGTCCTCTCTCTCTCTCTCTCTCTCTCTCTCTCTCTCTCTCTCTCTCTCTCTCTCTCTGTTTCTGTAATTTCAAAGTTCAATGAGGCGCAGTCATCGTTACCAAAATCGAAGAATTTGAGATGTCGAGTCTTTGTAGATTCTCTTGTACTCGAAGTACGAAAGTTTAAACAGGCATTTGAAGTTTCACGTGAAATATCACCGAAAATACGTAATTCCCCAATTGCGAGAATAATGCACTTGTTGCAAAACTTTCAATCGCGCAAACAGAAAAAAGGGCAAGGAGAGAGAGAGAGAGAGAGAGAGAGAGAGAGAGAGACAGACAGATAGACCTTTGTACAATAGTATCGACCGAGAGACTTGGAGCCGACATTTCAGTCTCGACTTTGAACGAGTCAACCTTTAGACGACGAGGATGACGATGACGGGGCGGAGGTCGTGCGAGTTTTACGGCATGCGAGCACGAGTTCGTGCGATCTTAGCGGCGATCGAGGTAGGCAGGCGAATAAAATGTCGCGAATTCGCTGGGAATTTGGTCGAGCTAACAGGAGGGAAACGCCGCGCCGGGGCGTATCGATAGCCAACAGGCGAATGCCAAAAACGTCACAAATAAAATGTCACAGACACACGATAGTGTGTTGCAAGCGAGATTGGCCGATCGGCGGCGGCGGCGGCGGCGGCGACGGTGGCGGGGAGGGGGAGGGATGGGGAAAGAGCAATTCGATTTACGTAACTGGCATTTTGATGGCATGCAAGAAATACGCTCTTCGTAGCTGTCACGATTACCGTTGAGAAATTTAATTAAACCGGAATTATGCGTGAGATCCATCGATCCCGGACTGACTCATAAATTACAGCACGCCTTTCCTGACGTCGCATGCGGGGAAAATGATCAACTTTAAATTAATTGCGTCGAGCGTGACACCGCTTTTGCGTGCAAGCCTCCGTGAAACTCGTCGAGCTCGCCCGCGCCGAGACACGCATGGTTTCAAAGTGTCGAGAGGCATTCGGAAGTCGCTGTTCTAAATTTGAAGGGACGCTCAACAAAGCACCGCGAATCTCATTTTTTCCCGAGAGCACGATGGCAAATGAAATAATGCGCGTTTATGTTTGCGCGAGGCGAGTACACGCGAAAACCAAAGACCGTAGGCCGAGATTCGCGACGCGAAGGAACATCGCGCCTATCCTATCCGGTAGCCGCGCTCGTCGTCTTAATGGAGTTCATAAAGATTAGAGCGAAGTCCGCTGCAGGGCTGGTGAAACCACTCTCCCGAGAACGAGTTTTCGCCGCTTTAGATACATCCAGAGAGCGTCGTTCCAACGCGAATATTGCGCATCGATAAGTTTATCTGGAAGCATCAGCCGGCAATCCCTCGCAGCAAGAGGTGTTCTCGCGCGACTGACGCGAGACTGGTCCGAGAAAAGCCACTTCCGTTCCGATCGAGGCGCGAGGAGTCCCGGTCTCTCGTCGCGCGCGCGAACGCTCCATTTTCCTCACCTTTACATTTCTCTGCCTTTGATCTCGCAAACACGTCGATTCTCTCTCGTTTCATTGCGGAACTCTCTCGGCGTGTGTGTGTGTGTGTGTGTGTGTGTATGGGGAGACGCCTTCCGATGCCGGAAGCTCTCCATCACCGATATCTCGAGACCACCGAAAATCTTTGTATCCACGACCACGCTCGATTCGGCCGCACAATGTCCGTTCATGCTCCTGGAGAGATTTGTCATCCTCGAGCGCGATACGTTTGTATTACTTTTACGGCCCATTATCCGCTCCGGGCGCGATTGACGTGGGTTGTCCCCGGACGCGCAGTAAATATCACGTCTGGTCCCCCTTGGATTAAGAAAGAGCGCGGGACACGGAAACCAACGGCCGCGAGGCTCGTAAAGCAACGGATCGCCTCGTTCGTATAAAATAAAAGGAAACGCGTCAGATTAACGGCCGCGAGAGCATGCACGTCGCATGACTGCGACCGTCTAATCGCGCTCTCCCACGTGCTCTTCGTGCCACCTCCCTCCGACGCTGCGCGAGGATCATGTGTTTTATCCCGTGAATTTAATTGTCTCCATAAATATCGGAGTCCTTCTGCCCCCCCCCCACCCCCACCCCACCCCCAACCCCACGCAGAGGCACGCTCCCCGCATTGGAGATGGCGGGAATCCTCGTCCCCGTCTTCTCGTTCCTCTCGCCCTCTCTCGCGTTCGGACACTCCGAATTCCTCGTCCGGCATCCTTTGTGCCGATTGCGATGCATAATGCATTTCCGCGGCCGGCGTATTCATCACCGACACTCTCGAGACTCGAAAGAAAGAAGTCGGAGCGTTAAACGCCCGACAGAAGTCTGCGTTATTTCGGCCGTTCCGAAGGGGGGATATAAACCGCGAGGTCCGCAAATGGCATTCGCGAATCCTAGGTGGATCCTTCGATTCCCAGGGGAGAACGAACGACCGCTGCGCGAAAACAGCGATTTTCGCAGCTGCGCGGAGTATTTCTTTTCGGACGTTGTTTTCTCATACTGTGCTACACGCGGGACCCGCCCCGCGCGATGTCTCGCTCGACTATTTATATCAATGATGGAAATTATCCGGACGCCTTGTGCAGATTTTCTCTAGACGTGGGATAATTGCGGTACGCGGAAGAGGGGAGCGGGAGTACAGCGGGCGTCGAGAATTCATACCGAAAGACACGAGAGCCGGCACGAAGCTCTTATTAATCCTGCCATCGTAAATATCCTGCGGCGCCCGGCCGCTTCATCCTGGCGAAATTCCAGTGACTGTGCTTCCTCTCGTAAACGTCCGGTCTTTATGTCGCCGTTCAATCACCTCTCTCTCTCTCTCTCTCTCTCTCTCTTCTCCAGCGTCTGGTGTTTGCCAAACCCGCGGCATCCGTCGTCGGTCCGCGGCACGTTCCGCGCCATCGTGCATTTAATTCGAGCCTTGGACGATTCCATTGACTTCCACGGCGCAATGTCCGCCGCGGAATAAATCTGCGTACGCCCGCTGGCATCCGGTCCGCGTTTCCGCCGCCTGGCCGATCGATGTTTCAACACGTGATTCGGCGCGCGTTCCGCGACATAAACCACTCGGGCTGAATCACGCGGGTTGACGATCCGCCGACTGACGGACGTATTCCGGATCTGCCATCTCGTCTTCCGCCACGGGCTACGAAATTAGAAAAGTTCCAACTCTCCGAATTCTGCGGGGGACCGAAGAGTCCTCCCGACAGTTTCCGTGACACTCAGACTCGGGGCGGAGTCAAGGAGGAGAAGAAAAAGGAAAGAAACACGCGCGACAGCTTCTTTGTTCCCTCGAAGTTTCAAGTGTCCAAAGTCCTCTTGGGAAGGACACACTGAAGATCGTCTCGTTGTTCGCTTCTGTTGCAGGGAGGTGTGCGTGGACGAGGGCCAACAACTGTCGCTGGCGCACGGATGTCAGTTTTACGAGGTGAGCGCCGCGGAGAGTCCCGCGGGAGCTGCTTTGGCCTTCCAGGCGCTCCTGCGGGAGGCGAGATCGGTGCAGCTGCTGCGAGCGTTGCCGATCCGCAGGAAGCTGGGCGTGCACTCGGTCTCGAGGGTCCTCGGCACAATCTTCGGCAAGAACACCACGAAAGATCGCAAGAAGAGGCCGTCGTTGAGTATATGACGCCTCCTAGGCGCCCTTCTCCTCGGAGGACGAGACGAGCCGGGCAGAAGGGCCGACATCGTCGTCCTCAGCAGCAACGTTTACTCGAGTCGCTGACGAGGTCCTCGACTGGTACGAGTCGCCGCCGCCGCCGCCGCCGCCACTTGGCGGTCTGGTATGAATCTCCCTTCGATCTTGCGCCTTCCCGAGCTCCGAAGAGAATGATCGCGCGATCGGACGACGACGCTCTTGGCGATCTCGGAGGCGATCTTTCGTATGAGAACGAGGTCCTTCGCGAATTGCGTCTCGCCGGAAGGAAGAGCGCGCTCGATATGAGGGTGATCGAGCTTCCACGGCCCCGCGCAGTGTTCAGGATTCAGGAAGTTATCCACGTGGATCCAAGACTGATTTTTTCCGGCGTCGTGATCGCGCGAGCGGTTCGAGAGCGTGCGAGGATCCCGAAAGTGCAACCCGAAAAGATCCACAGGACATCCGAAGGTCTTCCGGGATCCTGGAGATATCCAGGCTGCGAGGAGGTCGTTCCGCTCGTCCGGAGGGCGAGATCACTCCCCCACCATCCCCACCCCCTGAAGAGAAGAACTGCTGCGAGTGCTCGCGCGTGCGATCCTGTTTCTCAGCGCGGCGTTGACGTGTCCTCGCGCGAGCAAGAAGAGCGAGTCAACGCCTCCTGACTGCTCAGCGACCGCTTCGTTTTATTTCCCTTGGAATATATCGCGGTGACATCTCTCTCGCAGTGATCACGAGTGACCGGCGAAGTTGTTCCTGAACATGGCGTTAGTCCTTAAGACGATCGACGGAGAACGATTCTTCCGGTCGCGCCTCGCAACCGGTTCCGCGAGTGCAAATTTTATAATTTGGTACGCATAACACTCACTTGCAACACTCACTCGGTGTTTAAGTTATTACGTCGCTAACTCTAAACAGTATAAGCCGTCTCGCTCGTCGTTCTCGCTGTATTTACGAACGTTCCGCGCATTTTATAAGAGATATTCACGCACGCAATAAGTTGATAAGCCCGATGAAAGCGTCAACCCGCGTGGCTGCTCAGCTGCGCGGAAGGTTATCGCGAAATTATTCTCCGCAGTTTGCACTTTTTCTTTCATACTCTTCATCTTCCGCGAAATTCTCTCCTCTCGCCCGAGCGAAACGCGTTACACTGTTTAGGGTTGGTCTAATTTCTATCTTCCTTTTTTTTTTCTTTCGATGCTCCCGAATGAAACCCGTGAGTCTTTCAAATTCCGATGCTCCCAAGTGGAGAGAAGATCGCAATTCGATTCGATTCGATTCGATTTCCTGCCTACCGCCTTGGCTGTCTCTCGAGAGGCGTTCGCGAGCGGCTCACCGAGAGCGGTCGCGACGCCTTCGTCGTCGGGCGTGATTGGATTCGATGACTTAAATGTTCCTAAAGAAAGTAGCCTAAGTGTAAATAGCGCACACGTTCGCTTATCACACTTCGCGGAGGGATTCTTCGCGGAGGCTCGAATAATCGTTAAGATTTGCATACGAGAGAAGAGAAATAATATGAGTGCGATCGCCGGAACGTCGAGCCCGTCATTAGAGGGGTCATTGTTGTCGAATCATCGGATGGTGAAGAAGAGAACGATGTCAAGTGTCGAGTTATTTTCCGAAAGTTTCCCGCCAATTTCTTCTTGCCGTTTCTTCTTTTTTTTTTTTTTCTTATCGCGCTTTCATAGCTTTCATAGCTTTCATGTCGAATCCGTAAATTCACGGGGTAAATAGAAGCGATTTTTGTTGTCGACGGGTCGACAAGTATCGGCGATCGTTCGTATGGCTGCCATGTTACGTTCGTCGGTGACAACAGACCGATTAACGCGCGTCTCGTCCATTACTTACCGTAAAAAGTCGGACGTTTGCCTTTTCGCTAAGTTCTACAATCGCGCGTCGACGTTTTGTAAGTCGTCCTCCTTTTTCTACAACCAGCATCTACGATCGACTTTAAGGTTCGCGTAGTTCGTAAAAACGCTTTCAGTGTCTTCCGAACGACGTAAAGCGACGTAAGCTCGTCACGCGACGTGCTCTTTTCCGCTGGAAACCGCCGTGGTTAAAATTCACAACGACGGATAAAAAACACACGGCTCTACACACGTCGGTCGGTCGGTCGGTTTTAATGAGCACGAGTGAATTGCGCGACGCTTTTTTAGCACGTCGATTCCCAGCGGAAAAAGACCGCGAGCGCGCGTGGGTCGAGCTTTCAAAAGTTGTTGCCTGCCTCGAAAACGAGGCGGGACACTCTCAGCAGCGCAAACAGTGCGTATATCTCTCTTCTCGCGATACATTCCACTTGAAAATTAGCGTCTAATGTGTGTGAGTGCGTAATTCGATTCCAGGCAGATCGTCGCTGTATTCGAAGTGCTAGTCACTTGTTATCGAGAGGAGATAATAATAAAGGAGCGTCTTTTGTTAAGTCGAATCTTCAAGTTGAATCTCCGCCTGCGTCCACCCGCTTCCACCCGCCCGACGTGAGTCATCGACGGTGGTCTGCGCCAGTCATCGGCTGGGGGTAAGTCGTCTCACCGCTTATCAGGCAAATTTGATAAATACTTTGATAAATAATTATGCAAACACTGTCTGTATCTCGAAACAGTATTCTCCCTCTCTCTTTATGTTGCCGAAAACAATCGCAAGGTCGCGCGCTCTCGATAGTCGCAACACATATCTCTACAGGAAAATAGAGCCAAGAGATTAAATAGCTAAAATACAATATTAAAATATTAATTTCATAATATTTAATATTGATATTTAATATTAATATTATTATATAAATAGCACATTTTTGCTAAAGATTAACAGATAAGGGAGTTGGAGTCGTACTGGATAACTTTAGTCAGTTAAGGTGAGTTGTCATGTACTCGTTGTGACAGAGATGACAGAGAATGTATGAAAGGGAGCGTTCGAGATATTTTTTGAGCGTCTAGTCAAGATAGTCTATAGTCTAGTCTATACACGCGTTCGAAGTGGCGAATCCCTGTTTCGAATACAGTGCGCACCTTTTGTTACATTTTCGGGCGTCTGGCAACTTGGACGCCGGCTAGACCTCGAAATTAGCCTGTCATCGTCGACCTATCAGCCAACTACAGCGCCAACAGCATGTGTGAGACCTCGAGGGACGTCACGGTCGTTGGTTTGGCGAAAAATCGGCCAGATTCCCAGATCTCGCAGATTTAGCAGGTCTCGTTAAGCGAAGTCGTCGCGCGATTCGGCCGAATAACTAGCGATTCGGGCCAAGGTTTCGGGTGTAACACGTGCTCGTCTCTCCCCTCTATCATTCGCTCACATATACACACATTCTCTCTCTCTCTCTCTCTTTCTCTCTCTCTCTCTCTCTCTCTCTCTCTCTCTCTCTCTCCCCCCCTCTCCTTCTTTCCCTCGGGGGTCGCGGTACAGAAATAAAATACCGCTCCCCGGACCCCGATATATGCATTCCCTCGCGATGACGGCACGATCGGCCGCGCGTCCGCGGAAGAATGCAAAAAAAGGGCGACGCCGCGAGAGCGCGCGCGCGCACCGAGGAGCGGCGCGGAGAGTTCGATAGCTCGGATTGCGGAGAATAGAGGAACGCCGCGCGAAAATCTCCGACGGCAAAAGTCCCCCCCAGCGGGACTCCGGCGATCCCGATGCGGCTAATGATCGGCAAGCCGAGCGCGAAGGGCCGCGCGCTCGATTAATAACGGCGAAATATCAAGACCCACCGAGCTGCGTCCGGGACCGGGAAATTTAATAGTCATCGCTGATCTTCCTCCCGCCCCCCCCCCCCGCGCCCTGGGGAACCTACCTTCGACGACCTTTGAACCGTCCATATATCATAGCCTGGCTAGACGACAGGCTCGTGCGCGACTCGCACTCTTTCGCGCATGGTGGCGCACGGCGGCGAACGACATTACGAGGCGACAGGTACAAGGGTTGAAAAGTAAGGGTCGGGTTTAAGATTTCCGAGCGGACGGCGCTCGTCGTTTCTAACGAAGAAGAAGTCGCGCTAGAGAATTCCCCGTAGGCTGTTCCTCTCATATTACCTCGTCCTTTGCATCCGAGCCCGTCCTCCCGCCGAACACCCTCCTGCCTGCGCGCCCCCCCCCTGAATAGCGCGCCTCCCCGTCCCCCTCTCCGTCCCCCTCGCCCACGTCGACCGCCGTTCCGCGAAGACAAACGATCCGGCTGCGCGGGTAAAACGATGCCCGGTCGTCGATTTATCGCCACGACGACGTCGCGACGCGTGGGGACTGTGTCGCTCGAGGACTATATTGGTTCGCCCCGCGAGCCCGGATAATTCCAATTTGCGTATCTCACCTGGGAAATCGAAACTTTAAACCGAATCTAGAAACTCTCTCTGCGAGAAAGCGGCCGAGAGGGGGCAGGAAGGTGCGACATGCACAACACGTACGCCGTTGCGTTTATCAGGTTCGATCCCAGAAACTGCTGTGTTTTCATCGCGACCCCGATATTTTTATTCGCCTCTGCACGGGGCGGCTGCTCCTCGCGAATTCAACGGCGAGCTGCACGAAAATTCGCACGAACCGCTCCCGAGATTCACGCGATTCCGCGAGACGACTGTCGGCGCTTTCGCCGCGCCGCGCCTGGTGCGGCCTGGAGCGTGCGTCAATTCCGCGCGACTTAGCTCGCGTTGCTCGCTTTGCGTCCGCGCGAAGCCGAGCCCGGCTTATCGAAATTGCTCGAATGTCCCACGTGTCAATATTCTTAACGAGCCCGGCTCGATAATTTCGATATTAATTGGCGGCAGATAAAGGCGCGTGCATTATAGGGAAGTACCGAATTAAAGTCGGACTCAAAGTCGCGATTAAAAGTCAACGCGACGCGACACGACGCGACGCGACGCGACGCAAGACAAGGCGAGGCGAAGCGAGGCGCAGCAAGACACGCCGCGCGGCAAGGTGCGCGCGCGGGTGGCGTTGCTCGCTAACGAGTGCAATTTAATCCGGCGCGGCGCGCGCGATATCGCCTCGATAACGATATCCCGCGCTTATCTCGCGCCACGCTGGAGAACTGCCGATAGCCGCGGCACGACGGCACGACCCGTTAATTTTTCGCGAGACGCGACTTTTCATCGCAGCCTTAATCAGCAAGCGGCCTCGCGCTCGCTCCGGACGTTGCTTCGCTCGCTCGCTCGCTTTCGTCCCGCTCGGTTCCCACTTAATTAATGGCGCCATTCGACAATTAGAAATTCAGATTCATCCGAGCATGCGAGCTCGTTCGCTCGCTCGCTCGCTCGCTCGCGCCCGAGGCCCGACAATGACCACCTGCCGATCGCGATCCCGGAGGCCGACTTTCGACAGGGACGATAACAGGGAGCGGGCCCCTGACTCGAGATGAGGGGGGCAGGCGGTGGCGAAGGGGCCAACGGGGGGACGGAAAAGAGAAACAGGAGAGAGAATCGCGGTTCGCTATCGGCAAAAGGCGAAAGCGACGGTTTCCATCGGTGTTATCCGACTCGGCGGTGAAAACGATGCTTAGCCACGTTGCGCGCTCGCCCTCTCCCCGTTCTCCCCGACCCCCCGCGTCCTCTCTCGTGGGCTCCGTGTCGTCGGGAATAAATCCGCTCTATGGATGCTGCGCTCGCGAGCTCCGGCGCAGACATCCGGCTCTTGTTTCGCCGGGCCGGCGCGGCCGCGGCGATACGCTCGCGAACATCCCGGCAAGATAAAGTTGCTTTCGCCGAATGATATCGGCGTTAAGTTGGTCGAGCTCGAGCTCGAGCTCCAGCTCCTTTTCCGTTAGGCCGGACGATCGTCGTGGCGGATCAGGCGGATATCGCGCGGACCTGCCGCCGCAGTCGGACGTTGCATGCATAATGTGAAAACGTACGTAACGCGAGAATTAGATGACCATACTTAACGGTGGTAAATGTCGCCAGTCTCCCTTACGTAAGTCCTCAGCTCGGCAACCCTTTACGTAAGTGCATCTTTGCAAAGTATCCGGCGGAGGATTTTTCCCTCGGCGGCCGAGCTTTCCTCCCCAGCGGCGGAATCATCCCCCGCGGAGCCTTCGCGTCGCGTTCTTGAGCGAAAAGAAAGTAGCGAAAGCTCGCGGAAGTGCGAGCGTCGATCTCTCGCCGGTGAGTCCCGTTCGCGCGGGAAGTCCACTCGTCACGTGAGCGGATATTTTCGCTCGGGATATTTTACGAGATGTATTTTTTATTGAATTTCACTTTTCTTCCGCGCGCCGTGCGACCGTGTTTCGCCGCGGGGCGAACAAGCACCGGAGGATCTCCTCGCGAAGGAGATTAATTGACGAGAAATGAAGCAAGGACGAGCGGCCGAATTACGACGTGGTGACGCGTGCTTATCGGGATCACGCCCCGATTACATCGGACTGCCTGTCCGATTTAACGCCGCGCCGTGGCGTATCCGCGGTGGGCGCGATATTGCGTGGAGAGAGAGAGAGAGAGAGAGGGAGGGGGAGGCGCGGGAAGAAACGGTATTCCGTGTGCGGCCGGCCGGCGCGCGGCGTGTTGCACGTGCAACGTACGTACGCGTCGGCGATGCTCGCGTCGTGACTGCCAAGGTCGTAGGTCGGCTCGCTGCACCTTGCACCTCCGCCTTCGAAGGCAGGAACCAGCCGCGGCGTGTCTGGCCTCGGGGCGAGAGTTGAAATTTAATACACGCGCGCATAGCTCACCGTATCCGCCGGGCCCTCGATTGGGGCCCTGCCTGCCTGCCTGCCTGCCTGTTTGTTGCCTGCCTGCCTGCCTGCCTGCATGCCTGCCTGCTTGCCTGCCTACCTGCCTGGCCTAGGCTAGCCCTTCGTAGATTATCCCTCAGAAGGGATCCGAGAGAAAGAGAGGCCACCGTGGAAGGTCACGAGGTTTGCGCTCGCGGGCTTGGACGATCCGCCTCTCGGAGGTTTAACCCTCGCGCGTTCGTTGCATGCTGTGTCACAGCTACTTTCAAACATTTTACACCGTGACGCTGACAGGTGTCGGGGCATGCGTGTTGGACGCGTATCGCACCGAGATACCGAGGCTTTGCAGGATTTCGCAATTCTCCTGTTGGAACGAGCGAGGTCCGCGCAGTTGACGCGCACTTCTTGTCGAGATTATCTTCCTCCGCGATTTTTACACGACTTTTGCTGCTCTCATCCGACGGTTCGTCCGACTATCCGGTCCCCGTGGTCCGATTGCTCAGTGATTGTGCAAAATCGCGGACACAATGTCAGTGACTTTACTTTCGCCGTCGTCGTCGCTTCGCTCGCAGCGCACTCGCAGTCTCGTTATCCCGCTATCTTTCTTCGCGAACGGCGCGACGGTCGCCGCCGCCGTCGCTAATTCACGCCACTCGAAGGCATCGGACGGTAATCTCCTGGTGTATAGCGCAAATAGGATCTCGGCTACATAATATAAATAGATATTCCTCCCGGCGCGCGCGACGCGGGTATCGTTTCGCGTATGCCGTCGGTCGCGCGACAAACGCGAAACGCCCGAGAAATCCGAGATAAACGTTCGCGCGCGCGCGCGCGCGCGCGAGAGAGCGAACAGCGGCCGCTAATAAA